TTGATAATATTCCTAGAAGCTTCCTATCAGTGTATTTTTGAAAATTCAGTCTGATGTACTGGCAGAAATAAAAATATAAAAACTCTTTGTTCCGGGCATCTTACAAATCCAAGACTTCAGAGTTACCCTCACCCCACTCAGCTAGCATCTAACTTCTCTTCAGAAATTTTCTCTAATATCACCACCTCCATCTACCTATTTAAGACCAAAAGGTGTGCAGATTCCTTCCTTGCTCAATGTTTCACATCCCCATAGAACTAATTAATTCTAAGTTCAAAATATCTCTTGAATTTGCCTTTCCTTCATTCTACTTATTAGTTTTCTGAATTTATCATTTATTTTCTGAACTACTGAAATAATCTCCAATTTCATTAAATTCTCAAATCCATGCTTCACACAGCTGCCAGCATAACCTATTGAAAAGACAACTCAAGCCGTGATAACTGCATAATTAAGTCTTGAGCAATTCCTCTATTGCCATCAAGATAGATTCAGTTGCCTGCCATGGCATGAGGTCCTCCACAACCGCTCCCTCGCTCTGCTGTCATACCAAAATGTGCACGGGCTTCCACTTGATCAACCACCACTCAGCCATCTTCACACCTCACTCCACCTTCCTGGGCCACCGTCAGATCCTTATTTTTCAGAACCCAGGTCAAAAATCTTTTCTTCCAGGAAATAAAGCAAACTCTTTTTGTATTTTTTTTTTTTATCGCTGTGCTTAACTGTTATTTCATAATTTCAGCACTTGAGAGACTGAGCCAGAAGAATCCCTGTGAATTTGAAGCCAGACTGGGCTACACAGTGAGTTCAAAGCCAGACTGAACTACATAGTGAGATCAAGTCTCAAAAAAAGCAAAACCAAACAAACAAAAGAACCCTATTTCATTAATCATACTGTATTTCAATCATCTGTCGCCTCAAGTTGACTATGAATTCCTTAAAGGGTAGAGAAATTTCCTCTTTCTGTATCCAGTACTGCCAATTACATGAGGTAATTTGTATCTATGAAATGAATGAATGAATGCTTTTGACTTCTACATCTTGAGAAACTGACTCCTACTTCCCACTGCCAAAGTTCAGGCCTTTTCTTCTACTCTTGTCTTCTTGCATGTCTTTCTGCCTCCAGCTTATCAACCTTTATAAATATCTTTTTTAAAAAAATAAATTTTTAAGACTCGACTAAATGATCCATTTCTAAGCCTGGAACTCTATCCAGTAATTTTAAATATTCACTAGGTTAAACAAAGCTAAAATATTTTCATTTCTGCTTACACTGTTTTTATTATTTAAAAGAAAGATCCTTCCTTTAAAAATAGAATAAAAAATAAACTGCTAGTTTTGGGAAAGATAATATCACTTTGCTTCTGTGTTATATCAGTCCACCTTGGACTTTAGTATCAGAATAATGAGTTGCAATCCTAACTCTGCAGTGAGACATGGACTTTAAAAAAGGAATTAAAATATGATCAGCCCTCAGTGTTCTCTCTCTCCCCTTACACTACCTTTCCCAGGATCTTTTTGTATTCCTGAAAGTGGAAAAACCTGAAAGCTGTCCAAATATCTACTCCCAGAAACACATTTCACACATGCAATGCCAGCAGTACCAAAAGAAATCCCAAATATCTTTTGAAGGCAGATGCTGTAAACACTCATTGTTTCATAGACTAGTGGCACAGAAACAGGTACAATAATCAAGACATCATTTTTTCCCTTGCATGAGATCAGCACTGGGTCCTTAGCTTAGATATAATTAAATTGATTTATTTCTAGTATGGCACACGATAAGATGGAAAAAAAAAAAAGGTTTTGGTTTGGTTTTGATTTAGGAATGGTGTGAGAGCATTTCCCACTATTCAAACTTCATTTCTCTAGCTATAGAGATGCAATGTGGAAAGTCACAATACTACTCAAAATTAGTCCTACATTTGAGGCCAGGTATGTTAAAAACTGAGCCCTTCCCATACCACTATAAGAAAGAACATCAGAGGGAAGAAATTGATATGGGGGTCTTCTGATCATAGCTACATTGCAATAGTAAGATAGTTCAATACATGAATCTTTATGCCAAAAATTCTAGGCCAACCTGTTAAGTAGGATAACAAAGTGCAAACACTAGATTCTGATAGGTTTCTTCCTCCCTTAACTTAGATTTAGAGGCAAAGACTCATAGTGCCCATGAAACCAAGATCTCAAGAATATTACACTTTTAATAAGAAAAACAACAGACCGACAGAAAAGAAAGCAGGCTACTTGTACACTAATGCTTAGCTACAGTCATTCACAGTGGTGAAGAGGTCCATGTTCTCCCTGTGAGTGTGTTATAGTGGCCCCACCTCAGGTGACAAAGTCAATTAACCAATGGCTTCATTCCTTGACCTCAATCAGAACTTAAAGGGAGCTGTCTGAACTTTGCAGCCTCAGCCTACCAGTAGCAGTTCATTCCTTTCAAGAGGCTGGAGGGCCAGGGATTTAGCTCAGTCGTTCCGCCGCCTGCCTCACAAGCACAAGGACCTGAGTTTGATCCCTAGTACCAAAAAAAAAAAAAAAAAAAAGAGGCTGGACACTGGACAGAACAGGACAACAAAGCTGAATCTGTTTTGCTGTCCATCAAGGTCTTCTAAGCACAAACCAGTGGTCAGAGCATTGCCCAGGTGGGCAAGTCTTTGAGAAGACATTTCTTCCTCCTGTTAGCCGAAGAACTGACAATCTACTTGTCCATTTCATATCACAACAGAAACCATCGTCACTGTGTGCTCTTTTTCTGGTGAATGGTGGTACACTGGAGACTTATTGTTAGTGTGTCCTCTGCTCACTCCACTTTTTCTCTTCCAAATGCTGCAGTACACTGTGGGTCTTAAGTGAAGTCTCCAGAACAGCAGCAGCATCACCCTGGAACTTGTTACTCATGTAAAAGCCCCTCATAAGAGCTTCTACATCAGAAATTCTAACTGTAAATGTCCTTTTTAAAGGACATAAACTCTAAAGCACAATTTTGATCTTTCTGCGCTTATCCTTAGAAACTTCTTACTGCCTTTTGCCCTTACCTCATCTTCCCTGCTGCTCCAGCAACCCGCTGATTTCCAAAAGACAGCTCAGCTCCATCCTTCTTACCAATCGACTGAGACCTGGAACAGGCAGTGAACAACCAGCCTTCACTCAAATATCCCCTTTGCATCTCATGCTCATTAGCACCAGACAACCTTCCAGAACCAAAGTAGGATTGGATGGTGGTGATGCTACAGGATTCCTGTATTATCCAGAGTCACTGCCCTCCCATTTTGATTTTATGGAGCTCCATTTCATCATGGCATCATATGGGCTGGGAGGGGGTTCCTAACTGCCTACAGAGGATTTTAAAATAGTAATCAAACTAACAGTCAATCTGCTTTCTTATCACCAAGTGACAATAATTCGAAATACTGCCAGAAATGTTTCCTTTCACCATCACGCGTAGTGGTGAGCCACTGCTGCTCAGGCATCACATCCTCTTAAAACCTACTGTCTCCCTAAGCCCTTAATCCATGTCTGAATCTCCTACAAGACCACAGGCATGTTAAGGAGAGGTTACCTCTAACCCTGAGTACAGACACTTTTTTTTCATGAAGTTTACTGGTACATTTTAGGTATACAGTATACAGCTACATTCATCACTGGGCTCTTGTACCTTTACATGATGAATCTTGGTTCTTATTTTTTACCCATTTCCCTGCCCTCCCTTTAACCCCTCCACCCTTCCCTATTTACAAACTTTGTTTCCATTTTGTCCTTTTCTCATATTTTCCCCTTCTTTCCTCTTCCCTACCTTTCCCACTTCCCCTACTCCTTTAGCCCTCTTTTTCCTATTTCATCTTGTTAATTATACAATTTGAACCTTATTTACACTGTTTTTCACACCAGAGAAACTATTTGGTATTTACACATTGTGTCCTTTTTATTTCACTTGAGTATGGCCTCAATATGCACCCATTTACCTATAAATGACTCTAGTTTCTCATGCTTTATGGCTGAGTAGTACTCCATTTTATAGAAAAACCACACCTTCTTTATCCAGTCTCCAGTTGGGCAATTGGACTGTTTTCAAGTTTTAGCTATTACAACTGTGCTGCTATAAACATGGATGTGCAGGTATTGCTGATATGATTCTTTTAATTCTTTTGGAAAGATACCCAGCAGAGGAATAGCTGGCTTGAATGGAACCTCTAATCCTAGTTTTTTGAGGTATCTCCATATTATTTCCAGTCTGTCGCACAGACTGTCCTTCCTAGCTGGACCCCTTCAACACTTTTCCTCAAATGTCCAGAAAGATCCTCAATGAGTGAAACATGCTAAGTCTCAATACTCTGTATTTCTAGGACATTAAAGCCTTACACTCAATTCTTATTCCATACTGATGTATCTAAAACATAATTCAAAGACTGGCATTCACAGAACACCATGATCTGAACACAATTTTCATTCTTACTACTGATTCTTCATATAGTACTCATTTCCCTAAATTATGTACTTTCTATCACATGTAAGTCTACTGTATACGACAATACCTTGTATCTGATTTACTTAAATGCAAAGACCCAGAAGGAAATGTAAATGCTCAGTTGTTTTAGAAATGTGAATGAAGCAGAACTGCTTGAGCCTAGGAGTTCATGAGAAGCCTGGGCAACACAGCAAGATCCTACCTCAAAAAGACCAAATAATAGGATGGAGTGATGCAAGCCTGTGATGCCAGCACTGGGAGGTTGAGGCAGGAGGATTGCTGCAAATTCAAGGCCAGCCTAAACTATACAGGGAGGCTCTGTCTCAAAAAAAAAAAAATTTTTTTAAAAAAAAAAAAAAAAAAAAAAAAAGGACCAGGGATTTAGCTCAGTGGCACCGTGCCTGCCTTTCAAGCGCAAGGTCCTGAGTTCAATCCCCAGTACCAAAACAAAACAAAACCCCAAAAAACCAAACAACAAAAACTAGAGACAGTTGAGACATAAAAGAGAGTATGTTTTAATTATACAACCTTTTATTTAAAAAAAAATGACTCTTTTCACAGAATACATTTTCTCATTAGCAATTCCTACAATGGGAAAGTAATTTACTTACAGTTTTGTATTTGAGGACAGATTATTTTTAAAAAAGTAAAACATATTTCAGAATTAATGCCAGTTGGAATTTGTAATATTCTTATACCTCCGCAGGATCTCTTCCCTAAATAGGTCTCTAAATTCAGAAGCTCTCCAAGCTTTCTTTTCTAGGATTTAGAAATCTGTGACACAGATATCAGCATTTTCTAATTTTAAAGTTTCTCTAGGACACAAAATAATCATCATTAAAAAAAAAATCATCAACATCATCTGGTACCAAATGGACAGGGACATTTCCAAACATTAAACACTTTCTGATTTTCCACAAAGTCTTTACTCGTGAATTAACAGTCATTCCCTTTGTCTCTTATTCCCAGGAAAAATACAAAAGTATAGTCATGTATTATTCTCAGGAAAAATACAAAAGTATGATCATGTATTGATAGTAATAAACTGAATTTTCCTTAAAAGATTTGATAAAAGGCAAAAGCTCATACATAATATTTAGTTATACTGTGAGTCTTTTGAGTTGGGAGACAATCCCATTAACTCACCAAAATACAGAACTCAGTCTCACTACTTCTTGGATACAATTCCTTCGCAAACCTTTTCCTCAAACTTAAATTTTGAAAATAACCATGCGATAAGGATCGATGTACTTATCCATTATTTTTTGCTTACTATGAGCTGAATGGCATGACAGAGCAGAGGCAAAGAGGCATACAATTAATTCTTAAGGTATTAAGTCCAAAAGATCAGAGCTTCCACAGCATGGCAACAGCTTTGCATATACCCACATCATGATAGTTGAAATAACAAAGCCCAGCAAAGGTTAAAGCTGAGAGTGCCAAAAGGCCTGCCTTGGCAGCCTTCTGTGATCCATCCCCATGAACATAGTCAGTAACAACTTGTCCAAGACCCCTAGAGGAAGAAAAAAAATCATAGCACAAATTAAAAATAGTGAAGTCAGAAAACTATACAGATTATTTGGCTGAAAAAAAAAAAGACAACTAGATTCAAAATGTAACATCTCTGTCACTCCATTAATTGTTTGCTTTTTTAGGGGATTCTAAGTAAACATTTTTATAAGTAGATTTATTTTATACATTTTTTTTTTTTTTTTT